CATAAGTAAACTACCAATGACAACGAAAAGTTTAAAATTTAATTTAACCAAATGCAGAATAGTATGCAGGCCGTTGGACCTCTCAACTAATTACAAAGTGGTCAACTTAAATTTTAAAGATAGAATATTTATAGTCACAAGAAAGTTTTCATTGTTAGCTGACATAAGTAAACTACCAATGACAACAAAAGTTTAAAACTTAATTTAACCAAATGCAGAATAGTATGCAGGCCGTTGGACCTCTCAACTAATTACAAAATGGTCAACTTAAATTTTAAATATAGAATATTTACAGTCTCAAAAGAGTGTTCATTTTAATGGGGGACTTCTTTATCCTTTGTTAGCTGAAATATCACATGATTAGAAAAAATACAACACTCTGCGCAATTCAAGTACCAAAGACACGATGCACTCCATAAAGTAAAACCATCTAAGATACAAGCTAAAAAAAACAACATGCAGCACATGCTATTTGACTAAAACATTAAGTTAGATTGGCCAAATCTAACGAAAGGTTTTAATCAAAAGTCAGTCAGTCTACACTCAACCAGTCAGCTGTGCCAGTTGGGTGAGACTGACTACAGTCCGTTCGCTGCCACTACTTTTATCCGCGAGCCAGTTGGGAGGGGGCCGGTCGGGAGGTTTACCCTGCTTCGCGGGTAAATTTCCCTACTGTCGGGTAATTCTACCTACTAAGTAAGGAAGTCTCCAAACCTCCAACATCACATCATTCAGTGTCGAACCTTCAACGAAGACTGTTCACATATGCTAGCTCTGTTCTGATGTTAACTATGGATAAGCCAAGTACAATCACACAAGATAAACTAAAGAGAATAAAAGAAAATTTAAAGAAATCTACTACTTCTAAAACTAGCAATTTTCGCAAGTCAATGTCACTACGTCTAAAGTTTCAGAAGCAAATTAAATTACCACTACATTGGAATGCATCAGGATCAAATTATTCTAATCAATTATCACCCGAAGCCATATGTCAAGAAATGAAGCTTCCTCAAATAGTAAGTCCAATAGAAACAGAAAAAGTAGCATTTAAATATCTGTTACAAAACAAACATTATCAATTAGTAGAACAAAGACAAAACGAAAATGGTAAAACATTTATTTTCTTTTATGACAACAAGTTTTTAGAGGTTTGCTTTCCGACACAATTAAACGTATCAAATCCTCCTGACGTTGAAGATGGAAAGCTAATTTATTTGATTCACACAAGTCAGGACACATGGAATTGGGTATAATTTACGTACAAAAGGTATCAGTCTTTCTAAAGACTCCATTATATAAACATATTTTGACCACAAAGGTTAATCTGTCAAACTATTTAACAAAATATAAACATGGTCTCCAAAACCCGTAATATACTACTACTACTAATTTTTCTAAAGATATATAAACAATATTTAATTTTACGTTATTTTTTTAGGACCTCTAACATAAGATAAGAATTATATTTGGTTTTACATTAGACCTACCTCATTTGTGGGTACAAGATAAAGCTGCTATATCACATAGTTCCAAAACACACGCGAGCACACGATACAGCTAACGGTAGACACAGCACCGTACAGATAGCAACACTCCGCCACTACGTCCAAACGCGAACTGTGTGGATACGATCCAAATCTGGGTACAGCTCCGCGAAGGTTGAGTAACAAGGCCGGGCGTGGCCGCGACCCTGACCAAACTTTCCTCCGTCCAACTAACCCAATTCCGCGGCGAGCAGTGAGTCACCCATGCCGCAACGCGCCGCGCCCCGCTGACCTTACTAGAATACTACACAGTACTGTTGACTATGAATTTAACTAAATCCATGATTTAATTGTATAAACTGTGTTTCGCTCGTTAAACAATTAAAACAGTACCCACATACGTCACAAGTGACGTACGACCAAAACCACCTGCTCTTACGTAATTTCCTCCGAATGCCCTTTAAAATAATTAACTTTGTAACATCTGCTAACATCTGCCCGACAGCTGTTGGCGGTCAACTGTTACGTTGACACTACTACAGATGTTAATTAATAGCCCATACACCTAATGGCAACTAAGGGACCTACAGTTTATAGTGGAATTCGGACCACATTTTTGCCTTGTTAATAATTAATTGGTCTAATTATCAGGACAGTACTGAGGATAGTCGTACACTTTACAAAATATGAACCTCTTCCATTCCTTAACAAAAAATAAATTACGTTATTTTGTTACCCAGAGACCTTGTTCCGTTAGAAAAATTAACCTTCCCTATCAAATTCTTGCTTTTGTTTGGATTTTGTCCATGTAAACATTTTAATTTTTTTGATAAAACACTTAACAATCGACTTCATAGCAATAACGTCATCTAGGCTGTTTATTTTATGTATTCCTTTGTACATAATTCCCTCCTTATGATGTCACATTCTTTAGAAAACCAGTTTGAAACTTTGGTAACATAATATATTTGGTTAGTGGTTCAGGAAGAGTAATGATGTATTATGTGAATAATTTTCATATTTTTCATGAGAGCTTAAATAATATAGGTATGAAAATGTTACCTTAGTATTATACCATAGAAAAAGGGGTCACTCTTATTTAGTATACTAGTGCTGTCGCCACACCTTACAATGAGACTAGAGCATGCAGCAACGTGATATTTTTAACCCACTGTAAAAAATATGCGTTATAACAACATATTAGTTGTTATTAGAATATACTTAATAATGTTTGTAACTGTTGTTCACTGATATTTACTGTATTATATTTTGTTGTCGAAGAGATAATGTGATTTGACAAATGGAAAGAAAGTTTGAAGAATAAAAACGGCATGAAAACCAAAATACACATAACATAATAATTAAAAATGACAAAATAGACTTAATTTTAGATCTTTTAGGATTTCGGGTGATATTTTTAAGTAAAAATAAAAATATTTCAAGGTTTCCAATAAGTATCTGGAGTTAAATCTGTCACAGTAAAACGGATTATAAAAATAGCATGAATTAATTGCCATAGACACTAAGACCAGATGTTGTGTTTGCTTCCTTCGCAAGTAAACCTTCTACAGAAGAGTTGTAGATTGCACAATGTGGACATTGTAGACAGTTTTACGGACGCAGTCGTGTTTCTCTCTCCAGACTCAACGACGTGGTTGTGTGTTCAACACAAACTAATCCATCACTTGTAAAAATAACAAACACGTTTGTTGTGCAAACCGATTTATATATCAAAATGTACGTTTAAATTAGATAAAATATACTCAAATGTTTGCTTTAAAAACCCAAAGGGTTAAGAATAAAAGTTTGATTTAAAGGGGAAGTATTTTGTACCGCTTAATGAAAAATTAAATTACATATCTAGAAAAATTTTAGAATTGCAGATTCATTAATCTGAATGTCACACTTCGGAATGCTCGCCTTGACTACTTCCTTCACTATTTCCTACGTGGTAGACCTGTTTCCCACCCTTCCTATAACATTTTTATATTACAAATACAACTGTCACAAAGGATTTCCACACTCCGCACTGTTCACCTTTACCACTTCCTTCACCACTCCCTACGTCGTGGACCTGTTTCCCTCCCTTCGCGTAGCATTTTAGTATAAAAATATACTAACATCTTTGACTATTTAATAGTCAATGCCAACATTAAATTGAACAATGTAAAAAGCTGCTTAGTACTATATATATATATATATATATATATATATATATAATAAATACAGAACACAAATTGTATATAACTGCCGACTAATATTGTAAAGTTCTATTTATTATTCTGAAAGTTGTGAAATTGTAATGGCATATATTCATAGACGTCAAACTGTTTACTCCATGAATGAAAGAGCTTATAGGAAAAGTAGTTCTCTTTGTCTTAAGTAGACAACGAAATTGTTGGTCGCAAAAAGTAAGCAAATAAAAAGAAGAAGAAGGTAGCTTCTAATGTTATTCTTATAGGACAAATTAAAACATGTATTTTTAGGGTTTCATAAATACTTCTGAACGGAATCGTCTATAATTTTAATGGTGTCTCCCTAGTGATGACATAACTATTTGTGCAAAATTTGAACGCTATAAGTGCAACGGTTTTTTCAGTTTTTGATGCTAACACACAGAGGCACAGAGTAACAAAACACAGAAAAACAGACAAGCGGACAACTAATAATCTCCGACTCCGCTCTACACGATATATATAACTTTCATCCTATTTTATAAACTTTCTAGGAAACAAATAACTAAACAATGTATTTCAAATGGTATGGAAAACATTACCTAATTTTGAATTATTCCTTTCAATCCTCTTGAAGTAAAAAACCATAACAAATAATCAATTGCCTTTTAAGTCAATGATGTTATAAACTATCTTAGTTAAACTATCTTATAAACTATCTTATCTAAGTTATCATATTCTTTTACAGTGAGTATAATTTGAATAACAACCCCCATCATACAAAGTGGGGGCCTCTAAAATATATATTTTACATTTGATGGATTTTAGCAACTGGTAACACAATATGATAGTGAAAGTGATCTATACGATCAAGGTATTGAAACGTACTATAGACCTGTCAATGTATTTTTGTCATAGTTGTGTCCAAGTATTGTGCTATAGACGTGTCGCAGTTGTGCCTCAGTTGAGTCCAAGTATTGTGCTATAGACGTGTCGCAGTTGTGCCTCAGCTGAGTCCAAGTATTGTACATGTACAGGGTGCGCGCGTCGCAGCCCTTAAGCCTTGGTTTCCTAGACCACGCCGGACGAATCACGCCGGACAGAGAGCGTGATTACGTCATCGCGCCAGAATCTAAAGTATAGCCGGCAATGAGGGTGGTTTCCTACACGACGTGGGCGCGGACGCGGCGGCGCCTGTCCGACGCGACAACCCGACGCACCACGCCGGAGATATCTTTCAGTTGATTTCAGCGCGGTGCGCCAACCACAAGTCAGCGTTATTTGGTTTTTGGTTGGTCATATTGAGCAAGTTTACTTAATTAAGTTATTAGTGGAACTTGAGATGGAGTCAAAGGTGTTCACTTCAGAACAAGATGATGCACTCATCGATTTGGTGCGAGAAAATCCTGTAATTTTTGACTTATCTCAAAAAAACTACAAAGATGTTCTTGTGAAGAAAAATGTTTGGAAGAAAATTTCAACTGAGCTTGGGAAAAACGGTAAGTTTTTGTAATTATAATTTTAAACTTATTTAAAATTGTATTAATGGAATAACTTTACAGCCAACATGTTATGCATTTGGGGGTAATATTCATTATAAATAATAAACTAATATTTTTTTCCAATATTATACGTATATTGAATAAATAACCAACATAAATACATTGTATTATTCCATACAAAATATTCGTCCTACATTCAAAAAATTTAAAATTGAAGGGTTATTTAAGTTTCTTGGCTATTTATTGTGCAAGACGCACACGGTCCATCTGCCAATCTACTGCACCATTTGCACTACAGAAGTAGTTTTTGAAAGCTTCTCTGACTTCATAGGCTGGATTGGGGGCTCTTCCTCTGATTGGTTGCAGTGGTAAAAGATTTTCTGTGGGAAGGGATAGAGCTACATCATCTCCTTCTCTTGGACACGGGATATTGGCTGACCTCATAAGGTTGTGCAGAATACAAGCCGCCAGTACTAGATGATCTACATCACTGGGATGTAAAGCGATAGGCGTAAAAAACACTCTAAAGTACTGACACATTATTCCGAATGCATTTTCACTGCAACGGCGAGCTCTACTATGTCGATAATTATAAACCGCCTTCTCTTCATCTACACCGGATTGTTCCTTGGGGTATGGGCGCATAAACCTTGTTGTTAGTTTGAATGCCTCATCGCCTAGAAGTACGTGAGGAATACCAAGGGTAGTTCCTGGCAGTGGGGCGGGGTCTGGGAAAGGAAAAGTATCATTAATCACGGATTTACCCAACTCAGATTTTGGGAAAATACCTGCATCTCCCTCTTTTCCGTAGTTTCCAACATCAACAGTCAAAAATTTGTAGTTATGATCAACTGAAACGAACAGCACAATAGAAAAGAAATCCTTGAAATTATGGAACAGTGATCCAGAGTTTGCAGGGCACTTGATTCGAACATGTTTACCATCAACTGCACCGCAACAGTTGGGATAATTCCATCGAAGGCCGAATCCTCTGGCTGTATCTTTAAGCATCTGTTTGTTAGGGACTGGAAGTGCTTTGTCCATCAATCTTTGGCATATTGATTTCACTGTTTTTTTTATAATAACTCCTATCCATGAATGCGAAATCCTAAATTGAAAGGCTAGAGATCTGAAGCTTTCACCAGTGGCCATGTACCTAAAACAGTTAATATCATTGTAATATTTTTAGAAAAGATAGAGTATTTAATATTCAATTAACATTTTTAATTGTGTGTTTGATTTATCACAAGTACATAGCACGGTTCGGTTTACGCTCTCGACATCGGCATTATGCTTTTTACAGGTTGTGTTTTATTTCAGAGGAGGACTGTCGCACGAGATGGAAAACCATCAGAGACACATATAGAAGAAACATGAATCGTCTTAAAGAGAAAACAAAAACAGGATCTCCTGCATTCCAGAAATCCAAATATATTAATAAAAACTTAAACTTCCTGGAGAAATGTACGAAGAAAAGAAAGTAAGAAAACTGTCTTTAATTAGCATTACGATTATGTTTGTTCTTTGTAAATATTATAGAATAAGTTAGTTTTCTCTGCAGCAATAATACTTAACTAAATGTTCTACAGGGTGTCCAGTAAGTAAAGTGCCAAACTCTGGGAATGGTTCTATGGATCAAAATAAAGAGTAAATAAGAATATTCTTTTTCCAAAAACACCTTATTAATGAGATATCCGCCATTTTGTATTTTTTCCATAAACATTTCATGCATTCAAAACTGTCTAAGGTATCATTATGAAATTTGGTTTCGTGTCTGAGGTAGTAATAAAATAATTAATGTTTAAAAAAATATTTAAAATTTTTGTTCAAACGACGGCCATTTTAATTTTTCTAACTTAAGCTACTATCAGTTATATTAGGCGGATTGCATGCTTATTCCAGATGCAGGTTTGCTGCGGCGAGTTATTGCTGATTTATTAACGTTTCTTTTTTATATGTGATTTATTGATGTATTTTTTTCAGCGTGGTAACAAGCCTGTCCAGTGCGTCTTCTTCGACAAGTCAAGTCGAAGTTGTCAATACCTCTAATCAAGGAGAGAAACCGGAAACCAACGCTTCAAGCTCTCAAGAGAACCAGGCAACCGACGCTTCAGTAATCAGCCATCACGAAGACACAGTGATGAATGAAGAAGGGTTTGCAGAAGATGTACTCTTTAGACGTAACTCCTTTGATTTAGATAATGATGATGATATAGATGAAGCTTTTGACGCAGAAAACGTAGCCAAAGGTGTTAATAAAGGTAAGAAGAAAAATGTAAGAGAAAAGGTACTTGACGAGATAAAGATTGGACGGCTGGAACGGTCAAAACTATTGAGTAACTTGTTGTCAAATGAAACTAAGCCCCCACAGAAAGACCATCCTGTTGATATGTTTTTCCTGAGTATGGCAGAGGTCGTGAAGCAGTTTCCCCCTCATATCATTACAGAAGCTCGACTAAAGGTTTGTCAGGTGGTGAGTGAGTTGGAATTGAAAGCCATGCAAGAAAATACTAGGCCTGCCGAAAACGTGATTACAGTTACCTCTAGGTCTGTAACACCTAATTTAACAGTCCATACATTGAGTTCTGGGGATTCAGCAGATGTGGTGTTGCCACCCACATTTCCAACAAACCCTAATCAGAGTTATATTTTCGGCCCTGATGACATAGATGCAAACATTCCAAAAACATTCATCAAACTGTAAATCTTGTGATTGTTCATTAATGCAATTAGGACAAATAATTGCTATAGACTTCTTCGTCCAATCTTTGAATGTTTGTCCAGTTACAGTTTTTTAATTATAAAAATTATAGCCTAATTACAAACATAATTACAATAACTATTGTAATAATTTTCCTAAAATAAAAGGTTAATAACGAAAATGTGTATTTATATATTACTCCAATTACTTGGTAATTCCCCACATTTAATTTAGTTAAATTATTTTTCAGCATATGTCTACGAGGTATGTGATGTTGCAATGAAAAATATGTTAAGAAAGAAACAGTGGAATATACTTTCATTTCAGTATAAAATGTAATAAAATTAAGCGTGCTGTGAGCGTGAAAAATGTAGTAAAATTTAAAGGTAACCAACGTATTCGTTTTCTAATATACATAGTAGTTAACACATGATCATATTATACAGTTAACATATTATTGATTATCTATGAATTTATGGAAAATACACCACTAACCTCAGTGTTATACAAAGCTTTTGGGCAGGACTGATGGGATCTGCAACCCTGTTGCTGGGCTCCAATTCAATATCATTCTTTATAACGTTCAAAATTTCATTAAACATTTCTTGCGAAAGTCTAAAATACTCCCTAAATTTGGTTTCGTCGTCTATCAAATGACGTTTGATCAACAATTGGTAACACCCTTCATCAGGTCTTCGTTTAAAGATTGTATGGTGATCTTCTCTTAAGCATAATGCCAACATCAATTCTTCTTCCTCAGCTTCTTCTTCAAGCAACAAAGCTGCAGCCAAAATCTTAGCCATCTCTCCACACGAGGACCACATATCACTACGCTGCATCGCCGGGCCCGCGAATAAATCACGCGCCTAGGAAACCACAACCACGCCCGCGGACAGTGGACATCACGCCCGCGTCAGTGTACACCGCGTCGGACAGGTCGCGCTGGCGTGGTCTAGGAAACCAAGCCTTTAACGCTCAGTAACGCCCGTGCCGTCGTGGTGTTCACTACCCTAGTGCTGTGTTGCTTGTGAGAACCTCTTTGGAAATAGTTTGGAAATGTAAGTAATAAATTGCTTACAAAATCATCTAAAAAAAATGTTATTGTTATTTGGTACCTGTTTAGGTGGATATGTGCATATTATCAAATATAATCAATTATGCTTTTTCGCCTTCTTTATAATATGGGGATCGCTAAATAAACCTTTTAAAATTTAAGCTTTTGTTAAATAATATTTTATATTATTATAAACGTTGCTATTTTCTGTCGAGGTCTTATGTTAAAAAATCAATATTTAAATGAAAAGATAAAGTTACATTTTGCAATGAATTATGCGATTCAAAAACTGGCTAGAAATGTTGTGTAAGTGGTATCAATATCGAGTATTTAATGTGTGTTTACAAATAAATTATTTATTTGTAAAGAGTAAATCAAATTGTACCTTGAACTTAAAACAAACTGTTGTGTTAAGAAGTAAGCCTTAAACTTCAACATTTATATCTTTCAACTTACATAATTTGGATTCTATCATAAATTTTAGATGAACGTTATATACAAAATATTTTTAAATCTTCTAATTTGATTGATTTAGGTTCTAGTTTTCACAACGAAATATATGATTCACGGTGAAAATAAGCACTAAAATGTGTATAAGTTTTATAAAAGTTTGATTTTTATATTTATTACAAAGAAGACATTTTCCTAGAATCGCAGGAATTCACATGCACATTTATTTAAAGTAAACCGTCAATCTGACAGATACTTTCTCCCATTTGCGCCCTTTGCACTGTGAATATTTTTCAAGTTTAAAACATTGTTGTTTATGTGCTGGATTACCCTTTTGATTGTTTTAGACAACAGTAAACACAGAGCTTCACTTATAATTTCTTAATGCTGAATAAAAAACTTAAAAGGAATTTAAAAAAACGGCTCTATACGATTATTTAGCTTACAAATGCTTTTAAAACCTGCAACGGTTAACTTGTATGCATATTCAAACAAACTTTCAGTTCCAAATAACTTTTTTTTTTATTTATTCTCTGTTAGGCCTAGATAGCTTCTTTGGTATTTCAATCTTAAGTCAACCAATATAGCAAAACACACTTAGTTTTCCAAGGTGATAAAGAATCTTATTTGAATCGGGAATCTACCTCCGCAAAGAGCTAATCGATCATTTTAAAATGATAGATTGTACCATCTAACAAATGTGGTAGATAATATGTAAAGTATTGTGTATTGTGCTGAAAAGAAATGAAAGCATTTATTAACAAAATATCAGCAAGCTAAAATCACGTTTAGATCTGATTAGTAATACAGTAGTTTGTAAGATTGTTAAGATTTTACAAAAAAAGAGTAACATGTTTTTTTTTTAAGAACTGATTAAATGTAAACAAGTAATATAAATAGATCATAACGATTAATAAAACATTTAGTTTTTATATTCAAATGGCAGGCAATAGAGAGTATACATAGCTGAGTACTTCTAACAAGATCTTTTACTATGATGCACATTAAGTGGCGAGTCTTGTACAACATAATTATAATATACATTTACCATGTAACCCTGCTGAAACATACCACATACTCTGGCGGTCTTGTTAAAAATAATGATATTTATAAGGAACATCTAAATTTGCTTAATAGTTTTGGTAACATTAAAATATTTACTATCTATAATTTCCTCGAATATCTCTAACGATATTTTTACCTTTACTCCTAAAAATGACAAAATGTTGTTGAAAAACAAAGTAGATCCATGTCAATAGAAAAGAAAATTAAAAGGGCCAAATTCAACATAAAAATTCTAAATCATAAACTTAAATATTGTATTCTAACCTAATAAAAGACGGATTTTCCTCTTGAGCGCATTGTTAAAATATTTGTATAATGAAATGTGTTGTTATTGCATAGCGATGTTCAAATTAACGTATTAACGTATGAAATTTTTATATAGTCAAGCTATTTTATTACATCAAGCCTCTAGGCTTGATGAAATAATTATAAAGGCCATTTTTCTTTTGCCTTGTCAAATACCATTGTTATCATATTTTATTTGATTAGAATTTGATAAATTGATAGATTTACTACCTTTCATAAGGACTGTACTAATAAGAAATGTCATGGTATTGGGGGGGGGGGGGGGTTGGGGGGGTATTGGTCTCATTGCTATTCCGACTGATGTCATTAATTCCTCATAAGCATATTTTATTTATACATTATTTACAGTCCACTAAAGCTCTTACTACTTATATTTTATTAGAATTTATATTTTATATCAACGCAACGCAACGCAGTTATCAAACATTTTGGATATATGATTATGCAAAATTATAATAAAATATAATGCCTCCTTAAATAAACGGGGGGGGGGGGGGGGCTATCACTTTGTAACAATAAAAGTAAAACATAATATAAACAATTTTTGTAGTTGGTCAATCTATATATTAATAGGCAAGTATGTTTCTATAAAACCTTTTTTCTCAGCTCCTGTGTATCGCAGGGGAAATCTCCGCATATTGTTAGAAATATACAGTATGTTCCTGTAGATGTGCAGAATCCCTTTATATATTCAAATAAGCTTAAAAATAAGCACAAAAAATAAATTTATAATAAAAAAAAATTAACATGGGCCCTATGGGTTGACATGTTGGTGACGAAATAACAACGAAATATAAACAGAAAATCAAAACAAATGGAGAAATTCCAATCACATGTTTTATTTACAGTTAGGAAGGAAATAGTCTCTCCATCACATATTTTTGGTCGAGTCTTCGACCACTGGACGACCTCTAGTATATATTAATCTTGCACATACATTTGGAAACATTATTTTTCATATTATTTTTAATTATTATAAAAATCAGAGAACACACGTGGGGCGAAGTTAATATGTTTGATCTTCACTGGATATTATTTATGATTCTTAAAATTAAAGCAATTAATTACTACTAAATTTAGAAGTAGCTGTAAAATAGATAATGATTTAAAGGAAAACGTGTTTTCAATCAAATCATGAAAATCACTTTATCGATAGGTGCAGTTTGTTTCATCAAGATTGACAAGATGGCATTAATTAAACTAAAACGTTTATCGACCAAGCTCTTCTCGTTTGCACAAAATTCCCTTTCAAATTTTCACTCACCTGTAACATATGTATTGATTTTGGTTAATATTCAAATTTTAGACAATATTTCAAACTAATCGTGTACACAAAATAAAACTTAAAAAAATATTGATAATATTTATATTAATTTTATAATCTCAAATGATGACAAAAAAGTGATATATTTGATAAATGGGCTTGAATATGTTTTTATAGAAGATACATATTGTGTGATGTGTAAAATGAAGATTAATAAAAGGGTAAAATTAAATATTTAGTAACATTCATAAACATACCATTGTTGAAAAAAGGGAGACTCTCTACTCCTAGATGTGATGATGTGACAGCTTCAACATTTAGGAACAAATAAATGTTGAATCTGTAAAGACACTACCAACGGCACACGTATAATGCCCTAATACCTCTTTTATTCAATTCCTAACTGCTTTTACTTTTATTAATTCCCGTATTAAAAAAGTCATGATTCCTATGATTTTTATAAATGGTTATAATAATTAATTCCTGAGTAAATTAATTATAAATCGTAACACCTATTTATTCACTAAAACTGGATAGGTACTAAGATTTGTAATGTCTGCAATTAAATACAAAATATGCCTAAATAAATCTTTTGCAGTTCTGGGGCTTTAACAAGAACCAAAATGTATAAGTTAAACGCTATTGAAAATTTAAATCTATCCTTCAAGATGACATGTCAAAATATAGATTGATGAACGATGAAACTATGGGAGAAAATTTAATAACGATAAACGGCTGTTTCAGAAATAACAAAGTTTGTTTTTCCTCGCCAAGTTAGTCTCTCTACTTATTCATTCATGAAAGTAATTTAAAATGAGCTTTTGTGAAAACAGAATCGGCACTTAACATAAGTACTTTATTCCT